ATATATATATATATATATATATATATATATAACATAAAAGACATCTTTCATCTGATCACTTGGGATGGATGCATGGACATGATGTTTTAGACTGTGTTGATTTCTGTGTACATTAGACTGATATTTTTTATGATTTATCTTTAATTTTTACCTAAAAACAAGAAATAGCAAATATGTTAAATTTAGGGTGTGTTATAAATTGGATGGTCTGATTAACAAAATAAATTCACAAAACATATTTTAAATTGTAATCTTTATTATTATAGGTGTGATTGTTTCCTACGCAGAAATTAAGCATAATGAAGAAGAGACAGAACCTTTAGCAACTGCTGTAAAATCTGTAGCTTCTTTTCCTCCCTCAAGTAACCACGTGCTGATTAGTACTTCTTGTGGAACTTGGCCTGGCCCATCTCCAGGTATTACTCTCATTCCCAGCTCTACAAATTTTGTCCAACAATGCTATTCTCTCAGCTCTTCACCGTTTATAGGAGATTCTAACCTACCTGGATTAGGCTTACATGCAACTGTTTCTGATGCTTCGAGGACCCCTTCTTCAACGACGACAATAACTCCTACTAGTCAATCAGTTCATTATGCAGAACTCTCAGAAATTGGGGAAGAACCAAGTTATGCTAACACAGACTTAAACATTGGGCATGGTATGTTAAGTTTCAAGTTTTGTTTTCGTAACAATACCATTAAGAACTAATGGGTGTAATAAAATCATTATAATACATGAATTATAATCATAAACTTAAAGTTTGTTCATAAGCTTCTGAATTAGCTTTGTCGTCGTATAATAGTTAAAGTACATTTTATTAACTGTAACATCTCATTGTGTGCATTGCTGAAAATAGCTATGAGGATACACACACACGCATATAATTGGAAGTTATAGCTTGAAACCTAAGTTTGGTCTCATTAATGTATTGATTTTGGTTATGGTGCTAATTGTGTATGAATATAACAGTTTCTTTTTGCATATAAAGCCCCAATTTTTTGTTATTTGAAAAATTCATAGTGTTTATTCATTATATATTTTGGTATCAAGTTTATTAACATTTTTCAGAACATTAATTTAAAAATCATATTGCTGTAAGTTTACACTACAGGACTAAATCTTTGTATAAGGTCATGAAGTTGTTTTCATAGGTTTTTCTCTTCCAATAAACTTTCATTAGTTCTCTTGTTTCTGTTTTGAAAAGTATTAACATAAAAAAGTTGGGCTGTCACAGTGGTAAAAATGAATCTGTTGTTTACTATCCCATTAGGTTTAATCTCATTTACTTTTCATTGTGTATTTATATTAAAATTCTAAGACACAAAATAAAGTGCTTTTTTTTTATGTCACTATAACTGAGCTTTAATGTGTGGGAGACATAAACATTAAAAAATTTTACAAGAAAGAAAGAAAGATTGAACTAGAATTTTGGTCCTCCAGTGGCACAGCTGTATGTCTGCAGACTAACGACATTACAATCCAGGTTTCGATACCCGTGGTGGGCAGAGCACAGATAACCCATTGTGTTGTTTTGTGCTTAACTTCAAACAAATCAACTAGAATTTTTAACCTGAATGAAATGTGGGCCAAATAAACAGGTTAAAAACCCTTTGACTCAAATGTAGCCATTCCTAATTTTGAATGACCAGTTCTGCTGGCAGACAGCCAGCAGCACTTGCCAGCACAAAGACTTTAAGTGGCTCTTTGAAGTGAATAATGTAATGTCACTTTTATGTATGGAGTGTATTCATCAGCAGTGGGTCTCAAACTCTGGATCCTCATTTTGCAGCCCAGTATGCTAACCACTAGACTCTTATAAGAAAGGAAAAAAATGAAGAAATAGTATGATCTAAGTCTGGTCAAAGAGATATTATACACTGGTCATTACTGATGTATTTGATTAAGATTTTTTTTTTTACATTAACATATTAGAGAGAAGATATTTTTAGTGTTTCATTGTTGTGAAATTGAAAGAATTTTTATAGCACTGATTTAAGTTGGTAGTATGGAACTGAAATCTTTGTGGATAAGCCATATCATTAAGCTACACATCTCATTTTTTATGGTGTTATATTCACATTACAACACAAGTAATTAATGTGTTCTTCATGTTTTGTTATTTACAGTAAATATATATATTTTTTCATCAGCTTCAAGTTCCTTATCACCAGGAAAAGCAGTGTCAGAAGTTCACGAATTTCCTGTTGGTCCTGCTACTTCATGTCAAAATGCTAAAAGCCCTGGAACTGAGAACAACATAAAATTAGAAAAAAGGTAGTTTGTACAATCACAAAATAAAATTGTTAGGTTAGACTATTTTTTTCAAAATTGTATGAATAGTTTTAAAAAATGCCCTCATGGCTTTCTTATGTGATAAAATCTATAAAAGAGGTACAGCCATTTGACAGAAGTCACAACTTAAATTTTTTTGTACACCACTAAACTGATAAAGATTAACCAAGAAATGTTAACCCTTTTATTTTGTTTCAGAAGTGTTGTAAGTCATACGTAATTTCTTTTTCAGTACAGTTTTGAGAATATATATATCCATGTGATATTTATACCAGAATTAAGTGGTGGCCAAAGTTTTATCTGTGTTTATTAATAAAAAAACAAGAGGGGAATCCTCAATAGCCATGGCACTTGAAATTCTTTTAGGTAGGATTAGAGTAAATTAATCTATGAGACCTTTTTTTCCTTTTTATTAGCTACATTTGTGTGCACCAGCAATACCAAGTGTGGGGCGTATGTATACCAGATTTGATTTTACTACTCATCAAGATTTCTACCAGCCTACCCTCAAATTGAAATTCTTTTAGGCAGGATTAGAGTAAATTAATCTAT